AGACGGCGCTGTCGTACAGCACGTGAAACGTGAGAAACAGTGAGATCAGCATGACCGTTAGAAAGACAACGGCCAGCTTTGGACGGGAGACACCGACGACCAGAATGCAGTCCGAGTGCGAGGCATCGGCGCCAACGGGTCGCATCGCCGACTTGGGCAACCAGCTGGAAAGAGAGTAGAGAATACGGAGATTAGAATGAGATTGAACTCTTAAGAGATAGCTAAATATATTTAGTATGTAAGTAAGAGAGAGCACTTATAAGATTTAGTTCTTAAATAATTTTATACTCCATATTGCTTGAAATGTAAGAAAATTGATCTAAATTGTGAATATTTGGTATCTAAGAACATTCCTGATCTAGTTTTAATGCACTTCAAAATGGATTTGATAAGAAAAGTGTTAAGGCTATCGGGGAAAGGAACGTAAAGGTAATTGTTACGGATAGATAGACGGGCAAAGGAACGGACAGGCGTAGAAAAGCGGAAAAGGACGAACGGACGGGGAGTCGGTCCGGTAGAGACACGGACGGAGCGACGGACAGTCGGACGGTCGAAGGAATGACCGCACAGACAAAGGAATGAATGGACGGAGCGAGAAACGGATGAAAGGTCAGACGAGGGGTATCCGAACGGTTGGATGGAAAAACAAATCAACAAACTATATCTCACATCTCTCTCTCTCTCTTTCTCTCTCTGCCCTTTACCCGCACTGCTTACATTTCCATTTTCAATTAGTTCAGGGAATAAAAAAACTATCGCCCAATATAAAAGGCATGGCTATGGCCATGATTCTATTGTTTAAACCGAACAAAGCTGAGCACTGAGCTGAACTTTTGTTTGTTCTGCTGAAAAATCTATAATATTGATTGACTTACAGAGATTCGCTTGGTTTTAGCAGCGTAGTTCATGTTCGCTCTTAACCCAACAACAATTGCATAAATATTTAAAAAGGGTTTTCATCATCATGTATGGAGGCAACAAACAACTGAGAGTTATATCGGAAACGATTTCATCTATATAATATTGGGATTTGAATTATTCACAGTTCAGCGAAACGGACTGCTCAAATCATCAAACAAAGATCAACTCTTTCTCGAAAGTAATTTTACTTGTTTTATGTTGACAATCGAATGGCAAAGAGTTCGTTTACATTGATTTTCCTTGCGTTAGGTTTATTTAGTCTTAGCCTGCCTCGAGCTATTCATTAAAATGCCCCTCCCCCTGCCCCCGATTTGCAATGACTAAACACGAATTGTGGCGCCGATATGCAATTACAATTGAAATAAATATCTGTGTTAATGGATCGCTGTGCCCCACTAGAAACTAACTGTAAAAGTATTGCCTCGCAGCACAATTAATCTAATGGACGACGCTCGCTTTCAATGGCAGACGCCTTGTCGCTAAGCTAATTAGATTCCCGCCTCAACAGCCGCTGAGTAATTAAAGTGCCGGCCCAAGCGACACACTTACTCCTTCCGTCGCCTCTGTCCACTGCCCTCTAAAACGTTCAACTCCGAATGCCGATGACTCACTAAGTGCTAACCGAAAACCTGCTTACAGAAATTAGCAAGAGGTGACATCGCCCAGGTGTCTCAACTAGCTGCCAACTACCAACGGCCTGTAAGAAACTTCACACCAAATGCCGTTGCTGTTGCTGCTGCTGCTCCTGCTCCGCCTCCTCCTCCTGCTACTACTCCTGCTGCTGTATCAAAAGGCTCGCTTGTCAGCGCTTAGGCGAATTCCATTATAAACGTTTCCGCTTAGACCACAGTAAAAACACGACTCGCATTATGACTCCGCTGCCATACGTCGCGTATACGTAACGTGCGCTATGCTCGTCTAATGGATGACTTCATTTGCAGCAGCGGCAGCAGACGGCGCCGCTGGCAGTCAGTCGACGGCTGGCTAAGTGCATTTATATATAGCCAGCCTTAAAGGTGGCTTTGATGCTTGCAGTTTGGCTGGGCTGAGGGGGCAGCAAGGCAACAGGCAGTTGGCAGTTGGCAGCTGGTAGCTGCTGTTCCATCCTGTTGGCCGAGTTTTGCCTGCGACACCTCGTTAAAAGTAACGACACAGCGTGTGCGGTACGGTGGTGTGGTGCAGCCCACAAGGCGTCACTTCACACATTTTCAAACTTCTGTCTACTTCAACTACTCTCTCACTCCCTCTCTCCTTTTCTCCTCTGCCTTCACACAGACGTCGCGACGCCTCGCGGCTGTGGCATGCTTTAAGTTTCCCCTACACACGGAGTTCGCCTGGCCTCATTTCGGATAGGCGTGGCTGGACTACCCACTTGAGTTGGCATCTGCATAAATGCAACGTTTCCCTTTGACTCTGCTGTTATTGTTGTTGCTCCGGTAGCTTCTGTTATTATAGCTACAGCTGCTACAGCTTGTTGTGGTTGCTGCTGCTCCTGCTCCTGCTGCTGCTCCTGCTACTGCTGCTGCTGCTGCTGTCACGCATTCGGGTTGACAGCCCAGTTGCAACTCCATTTCGTCCTTTGTCCGGCGACCGGCGACCGGCGCCCGCAGGCAGCTTCAACAACTTAAATCCCAGCCAAGTTGACTTTGTTTTAAACGAGCTCAAACATTCCCAGCAATTCGCTGGAAAGCGGCTTAAAGACTTAGCCAAAGACCTCACGACACGACACGACACGAGACTCAACAGTTGCAGCTAGTGCAATTAATATTGCCAACTTTGTACATTTATCCATTCGATTCTACACGCAGATATGATTTGTGATGGCGCCTTAATTAAAACTGAATAAAATTTAATAAATAAAGTTGGCAACTTTCGGGGAAACAATGGCGTGTGAACCAAGAATAATTTCAAAAGCTTTAAGTTGCCTCTGAGTTGGGCATGATATGATGCAGAAAAAGGTTTTACTTTAAAATATTGTGACCTTTCCTGTGAATGGAATATTGAAGACTTTAATATCATTTATGGCATATAGAGATGAATGAGTCTTCAAGCAGAAAGTTTTGCTGAACTACAAGTAGGAAAATACGAAACTCTCTTACTATAAACTTTTTTTTATACAAAATATATTATGATTAAGACAAGCTCTTAGACCTACTTTAACTCTTTCTACATCCTTCTATTCCATACTCCTATCACCCCTAATCAATTAAACTCTCTCATCAGCTTTCAGAGTCTTTCATTTTCTGCCATTAGCCCCATTTGATGAAGCAAAGTCAATGCATTTAGGATTGATGCCATCTACTTTGGTATCTTAGATTGGCAACATGCATGCGCTTGCAATTTCAAAATATAATTGGCCCACAATCACATGTTTATCAAAAATGCACATACACACACATACATATGCACATATACATACATATGCAGAAGCATTGCTGTTGAAATTGACTTCGAAAATTGTTGTCCAGCCATTAACATGAATGCAATTTTCATTCGAGTCGTTCAAATGTAAATTTTATGAAAGCATGAGACGTGCTTACATTGACTTTTTCTCTACATTTGACATTGCTATTTCTAACCGGGGCTGCAGAAGCTGCCGTTCATGACTAATAGTTACCCTGTAATTTGAATAAAAGTGCGGTATATTGGAAGAAATATATCTACAATGCAATAAAATTTGCTAAATATATTTTTAAAAATTTTTAAAGAACGATTCCAATCATTTTTTAATTTAAAATATGTTTTTTTTTTCTATAGAAATTTTGATATAAATATTCCAGAATATATACAGCATAAACACATATTATTTTCCCATAAATTCTTAGCACATTATTTTACCTAAACTCTATTATAAATATCCTGCAGCTGAGCTGCTCGAACTACCCCCTAGCTTAGACTTTTTACAGGACATAAGTTATCTAACGAGTCTCATGGTCGAGGGAGCGCCTGAATCAGCATTAGCCCAAGGGGAATATCCAGCTGTAATCTAGGTGAGATACCCCACTCAGACCCTTAATGATAGCCCAGCCAACAGCTCAGAGCACAGTGCGAATACTCACAGGATGTCCAGCGGCAATTTGACAGAACAATCGCGCAGTGTCGCCGCTGCTGATGCGGATGCGGATGCGGATGCCTGATGCTGTTGATGTTGATGATGATGATGCTGCTGCTGTTGCTGTTGCTGCTGCTGCTGTTGTCTCTGGTGGTATTGCTGGGCATGATGATGTTGCTGCTGCTGTTGGTGTTGATTGTGGCCATGATGTTGATGCTGCAACAGCTGCTGGTACTCGTGCGCCTGCTGATCCGCATCCGAATGATGCTGATGATGATGATGCTGCTGCTGCAATGGTTGCTGCTCGCTGCTGATGTTGCTGTTGCTGTTGTTGCTGCTGCTGCTGCTGCTGCTGCTACTGCTGCTGCCAGTTGCTGCACGTCTCTTGGCGGCAGTCATCAGGCTGATGTTCAATGGAGCCAAAATTATTACCGCTGGCTGTTCGGAGGCGGCGACTAATTGGCCAGCTGCTGGCCGCACGTGCGCGCCAGGGAAGCGCCCCAAACGTCTGTTCGCTGCTTTTGGGGTCGTTGCCTGGCTGCCGACGTTGCTGAGCTTCCACCACTTGGCCTACCGCACCAGCAGCGGCTGATTTATGGCCACTGCCGCGTGGGCGTGGACTTGCTTATATGCCGTCTCCTCTTTTATTTGGTGGAGCTTGCGTTTGTGCGCTTAATTAAATTCTCAGCAACTGCAGCTGCAGTCGGAAGTCCGTTGCAGTTCTCTTCGTTTCGCTTAAATTTTACTGAGAGAGAGAGCGCTGCACAGGCAGCCGTTTGAATATGGATTGATCATTAACATTGTTGCGTGTGTTGGCCCTCGCCGTCCATTGCAGTCGTCCCCTTGCCTGCAAAGAAAAGAGGGTCGGGGAAAATTAAACATTTTCTTCGGGTAAATCAAATACCGATGCAGTAGTCATTAATGAATGCATTTATGCAGAGACACGAGTCTAAGCTCATTATCATAAATACAAAACCGATACTTGATAAAAAAAAAAACCTGGCGAACTTTACTATTTAATCGCGTTTACCAGTCGGATATGCACGCATCGAATTCAAGTCTCTTCAACATGTTCGAGCTGTGGCGAGCAGGCAAGGACTGCGGCAGACTTGACACTCGGATATATACTTATCATATACTACCTCTATATAGATCCCTGGACAACTGAAGTGTATTTGCTCAATTCGCCATGGCCTGTGACATGCCTCTGTACGGCATATTTATTATTTATCTACAAAATCGGTCCGGAATTCATGAAGCATCGCAAACCCTACAATCTGAGGAACATAATACTCATCTATAACATCTGTCAAATGATCTACAATGGATCGATCTTTCTTATGGCAAGTATCAGGAGCTGATCGATTCCATGCAAGTTCTACAATTTAAACATTTCTCTACAGGCTTTTTATTATCTATTAATCGATGGTACATACGATATAACTTGCATGCACACCCTCAGTCTAGACCATCCGAAGAAGTCGATAGAGCGTTGGATTACCTATATTTTCTTCATGAACAAGATATTCGATCTACTGGATACGATATTCTTTGTGCTGCGCAAGAGCTACAAACAGATCACAGTGCTGCACGTATATCATCATGCCATGATGGTCTACTTCATGTACTGGGTCACACGACTCTATGGCGCCGGCGGCCAATACGCAGTAATGGGACTATGCAATACAACTGTGCACTTCCTAATGTACTTTTACTACTTCAATGCGGGCCTGCGGCCCAAAATGAAGATGAACCTATGGTGGAAGAAGTACATAACTATCGCCCAAATTGTACAGTTTATGATATATTTAGTGCAAAGCATTGTAGTTCTCGTCTTTAATCCCACCTGCCAGTTTCCCTTGTTTATGCAATGGCAACAGATATTTCAGTCAACCCTGATGATTTTCCTGTTCGGCAATTTCTATTATCACGCATATATAAAACCAAAGCAAAAAACTGAATAAACCTTTAGAAATAATGTCGCAAAATCTCTCGCTTGTTCTATTTTTATTCCATATATATTGTGTTTTTTCTTTTTTATTATAGCAGTTGGACTTGCATTGTAAGCCTATTGACAAATTATCATAAATTAACCGGAATCTAATTCGATAGCTAGACTTTACGCAGCAGAGCAAAGGTTCAGGCCTCAGCCTTGAAACTAATAGCATATAATTAGTTTTCTGTATATCCTCTATTTCATTTATTTTTTTAATTTGTTTAAATTTATTTCTGGTATGAAAAAAATTTTGTTTGTCATCTTAAATTGTTTTCCTATATATTATATAACCTGTAAATATTTAGTTGGCCAATTACGGTAGTACCTAAAATAATAGTCCAAGTTTAAATTGGTTACGAAACTTAAAGAATAGGAACTACTTCTCATATCTGTAGCAAACTTTCATTTATATATATATATATATATATATATATATATATATATATATATATATATAT